AAAAAGTCTAGGTTCAAATCCTGGTGTCTCCTGATAGGGCTGGGAAAGTATCCTGTCTAAAACCTGGAGAGCTGCTGACATCAGTGTTGATAATACTGAGCTAAATGGGCTAATGGTTTGACTTAGTATAACGCAGCAGCCCCTGAAGTGCAAGCGCGCACACACACACACACACACACACACACACCATGGGCATAGCTGGGGGAGGGGGTGCAGATAAATAAATATACTTAATAATATGAGTTGCAGATAGCTCAGTTCTGCCCCCCCCAAAAAAAACAAAGGTCCTGCCCCCCCAACATAAATCCTGGCTACGCCCATGACTCACATGCAAGTTCTTAGTTAGCAAACTCCCAAGGACATGAGGTTGCATGTACAGCATTAAATTACTATTAAGAACCCACTTTTGACAGTTGCAATTAAGCCACATGAAAATAGGGAAGGCTTAGCATGCCCATCACAAAATTGCTGGAGAGAGAAAATGTGTGTGCACATCATAACATATCCATAACGAATCCTTGATTTTTTTAAAAATAAGAATTATATATGAGCCTTAAGTAGAAAGATGATAGCTTGCAAGCCTTCCTGTAGCATTTCAACACAACTTTTGCCTCATTTAACCTGTAACATTTGTTGTAACCCACTCTTAATCTTTGTTCAATCAGTTGTCACCACCAGCAATGGGGAGGGGGGGACAAGAAATTTCAAAATCCATACCTTGATTTGCTAAGTGCAATCGTGTACTCATCCTAACCCAATCTCTGTTCTGGCCTACTATCACATTTCAGTCTCCCTCTCTTTTCCTTTCCATCAGAGACATGTGATTTCAAAGTTGTTGTTGTTGTTGTTGTTGTTGTTGTTGTTGTTGTTTTTAAAGATCTAGGAGAGCCAGAATCCCCCAACACATGTTCTCCGGCATGCTTCCCCCTCTTTAATCCTAACCTCTGTCACTATGACTTTCTGGGCTCACATTTCAGTCTCATTTTAAACCTTCTCAAAATGCATCCAGATAACATGGGAGACAGCCTGGAGAATTCCCCCTAGGCCAGTCACTACCATAAAATCCTTTTTCAGACCACCGGAGAGCCTGTACTTATTTATACAGCCCCACAAGGATGCACATCTCTAACAGTTCTGAGCTTTCAAAAATTTTAAATTCCATTATGAAATCCACAGCCCCAACCAAGCCCATCCCCAACCCTCAACTCTTTAAACACTTTTCTCAACTGAGAATGTCATCTTGTCCTCACATTATACTAGAACAATTCCCTCTAGTTTTTCTATTTAGACTTACTTGCAAGTTTTTGAAATATTTCCTACTGGCAAGGTATATATATGCATATATTTAAAAATATTGTTTAAACTGCAAATAATTAGGTTAATATTAAAAAATCTTAATAAAGGCAGGTTAGTCCTCCAGCTACCCACAAAATCAGTGTCATATACATTGAGTTAAATGAGGCTTCTGTACATAAAAAGCCAATTTGACAATTTCTCAAATATTAGTATTTACACTTGCCAAACATATACATGCATCTTCACCTGAAGAAAATAGATCTATTCTAGTCTGCCTACAAACTATGAAACCTTGCTATGACATATCATTCATGTGTATTTTATTTTTGCTTGTATTTGTGAGGGTGAAATGGGCAAAGGCAGGGTGAAGCAGAGAAGAACATTGGGAAGAAGAGAAGACAAACTGTCCAGTCTGCATGTTCCAATATTCTCATGCTAAGGTTCCAATTCTATACTCTCTTTCTAGGAGTAAGCCTCACTGAGCTCCATGGGACTTACTTCTGAGAAGAAATGCTTATTAACCTCCTAACAATCATGCATCCTGATTATGACAGGCCCCATACGGGAATATTTTAAAGACATTTGTTGTATTGGTAAGAAAGGAGAGCATACAAAATGTATATACAACATGACAAAGAGATGGAAAGCCTGGTTGAAAGAATTAAACAGTGTAAACAACATAGTTTATTGGTGTCTTACACCATAGTTTTAGAAATAACTTGTAGAATCAATGGGAAACAATTTAAAATCAGTCTTTTAAATTTGTCTTTTATTCTTCCTGATTTAAATCAATCTACCCTACTTGGTGTTCACACACTCTTAGCCACACATAAAACAGTTCCTTGCCATTAATTTCCCTGCTACCTCCTCCTTCTAGAAAGTATTACTTTCTTGTTCCAGTTCCCAATATCCCACTCAAAAGTTGCACCCCCTGGATCACATAATAGACATCTGAAGGCAGCCCTGTTCAGGGAAGTTTTTAATGTGTGACATTTTAATGTATTTTTAATCTTTGTTGGAAGCCACCCAGAGTGGCTGGGGAATTATTATTATTATTATTATTATTATTATTATCCATTATCACAATTTAGAGCACAATCCAATTAATGTCTACTTAAGGATGAGTCTCACTACATTCAATGGGGCTTTCTCCCAGGTAAATATGCACAAGACTTCAGCCTCCAGAATTCGTCTGCAGTCAAAATCAAAACAGTTAAAACATGGTGTACAAAACCTAAAAGACCTTCTTTGAAATGGGGATTTCAATTCATTTTCTGAAGATTACAAACATGGGATCAGAAAGCAATAACTTTTCATAATTAATCCTTTTTGAGAGGGTCTAGTTTGAGGTTGGTTTGTTTACAACCAGTGTATAAATTTTATGAAATAAATAAAGTTGTATACTATCCAAAGGTTCTCTAATTGCCTCTTTTCCCCACTCAATAATCTGCTAGTCTCCAAACTACCCATTATGCTCTTGGTTATCTTGACCATAACTATCCCACACCCACTACCATCTTCCTCCAGGCTCCTAGCACTCTACTGAGAAACAAAACTATACTCAATAGATAGTGAAGTACACTGATGCTTACAGCCCCTTATACATTTCACCATGCATCCATTTAAGAATACAAGAGCTCAGCTGAATCAGATCAAAGGCCAGTCAAGTCCCACATCCTGTTCTCACTGCAGACAACCAGGTGCCTATGGGAAACCTGTAAATAGATACTACTTAGCTTTCCTACAGTGCTCTTTCTGGGTGCCCACATCAATCAGTTCCAGACAACATGGTCAGTGATCAGGGAAGATGGGAGCTGCAGTCAAAAACATATGGAGGGGACCAAATTGGGGAATGCTGACATACTTTATCACAGTAGCAATGTTAGAAACTGAGATATGAAAGCTAGAAGCTAAATGGTACTTTGAACCTATGGGCGCAACAATGGAATGTCTAGGCACAATTTTTTAATAATAAGAATACAAAGCTGAAAATGAATGAACTGCAGCTAAAGTATTATGTTCACTTTTCACACGGTCTAGTCCTTCTCCTGCCCACCCCCCAATATTAAGAGGGTCTCTTCTCCTGTCTTCAGAGAGTAGCTGGAAGTGGGGAGGCAGAAAAAGATCCTCCTTTCCTCCCACTCTGCAGTTTAATCTAAAATCTTAGGCACAGTACTGCACCCAGAGCTCAGAAACTGCTCACGCTAATGAAATTCCCCGTCGCAAAATGCGCCTAGAACAATGGGAGTTTCAATCACTACACAGCAGTTCTTACAACAACCTTGTAAGGTAGGGCAATATTTCCCCCAAATCACTATTGCATAATAAAGCATACCTGTACTGTTCTTCAGAACGACACCAAACAGCCCTTATAATTCACAGGCTCTTTCCATTTTTAAAATTTGCATACCACCACTCTACCCTACTGTACCGAGTGTGGTTTACAACCCAAACCTAAAACGAAAGTCGCGCTCCACTCCAATAATCCTTCGTCCAATCTGACCCTCCGCTCCCGAACTACCCCCTCCCCCGAAATTTGGAGTAACCCCTCCCACATCCACCTGCACCATCCTTTCCGAAGTCCCTGCTTCAGGTTGCTTCGTTTCCCAACAACACCGGGGAAACCAGAAAAGGGAGTTCCCCCAGCCCTCACTTCTCCAGGCCAACTTTTAACGTTTACCCCCCCCACACACACACACCCCAACCCCTTTCCTTTCCTCCTCTAGCCCACGTGCTGCCCTTTAGCTCTCGAGTCCCCCGATACACCCTACTCAAACCTCCCCCCCCCACCCCGCCACAGCTTCCAGGCCCTTCCCCCACACTTCCATCAGCCCACCAGCCGCCGCTTGCTAGGGGCTGGCCTCACTTTGCCCCCTACCCTTCCGCAGCCTCCCTTGACCAGCGCACCACACGCGGCTCCTTTCTCCTCAGCTTTCTGCTCCTCTCGGTCTTCCCCGCCGCCTTCTCGCCGCTGCTCGCCCAGCCCACGTTTCTCCTACCCGCTTCCCTCCCACCTGGCCTACTCAAGGCCACCGTTTCTTTAGCCCCCTCCCCTAAATTCGCTCTCCACCAGCGGCCCAGTTAGAGGTCCCTCTTCTCTACCGCGGACCCCATTGCTCTCTCTGTTTCTCCTCGCCCCCCCCCCACCTCCGCTTTATGCTTTCCTCCCTCCCCCCTTTTAGTCTTCCCCTGCTTTGTTTAACTCCACCCCCTTCCCCTCATATAGCCCTATCCTCCTCCCCACCCCACTTCGTTTCATACCTTCTCTCCCCCAGCTCCCGTTATTTCAGCACCCGCCGCTGCCTTCAGGCGGGCCTTGCCCCGGAGCCGGTCCCGAGCCCCCAACAGCAGCGCCCGTCTACCACCACTCTTCTCCCCGCCCGCCGCGCTGCCTCGTCCAATCCTCCTCTAAGACGGGGGCGAGCGACAGCTCGATTGCCCAATCAGAGGACAAGCAGACTTCACAGCTCCAAACCTCCCAGCGAGTGACATCATAACGGCCAATCGGAGCGCGCTCGGGGGGGGGGGAACGGTAGATGAGGATGGCATTACAAAAAAAAAAAAGACTCTGATAAGGGGAAAGTCCCAATCGCTATAGTAGTGGGCCGGCCGGACTGAGCGCCGACTGACATCACAAATTCGCCAATCCGTTAAACGCTCGCGAGGCTCCCCGCGCTATGTGGTTTGAGCGACGGAGGTAGCAACCAACCGCCGATCGAATAGTTACTACGGTCGTTCCCATTGTCTTTGGACGGTGTTGCCATCCGCAACGGGTCCTTAGCCCTTCCCCCTCCCACCCCAATACGTAATCTCCGTACATTCATAGCGGCCTGCGTCTCACCTTATGAGGGAGCGACATCTTAGGTGGGTTGCTACGGGCAACCAAGGACGAAAGCTCAGAGGCCGGGGAGGGGAAGGAACCTGTGCGAATGGCAGCTGCCAAACTTTAAATTCTCACTTCGCCAGTATTGAACTCAAATCTGAAAGGAGCTTTTGGATTTTAAAAAAGGAATGATGAAAAATCTTTTCTCCAATCCTTCAAAAATATTTATACAATTTATGTAGCAATCAGTTTGTGAATTTCAGATTTGTAATTTACAGTTTAAAGGTAAAGGTACCCCTGCCCGTACGGGCCAGTCGTGTCCGACTCTAGGGCTGTGCGCTCATCTCACTCTAGAGGCCGGGAGCCAGCGCTGTCCACAGACACTTCCGGGTCACGTGGCCAGCGTGACGAAGCTGCTCCGGCGAACCAGCACCAGAGCAGCACACGGAAACGCCATTTACCTTCCCGCTATAAAGCGGTACCTATTTATCTACTTGCACTTAAGGGTGCTTTCGAACTGCTAGGTGGGCAGGAGCTGGGACCGAACGACGGGAGCTCACCCCGCTGCGGGGATTCGAACCGCCGACCATGCGATCGGCAAGTCCTAGCCGCTGAGGTTTTACCCACAACGCCACCCGCGTCCCTAATTTACAGTTTAGAGAAGGATAAAATAGAGGGATTTGGGAAACACATTTGACAATGTACACGGTTTCCTCGTACCCAATAAAACTTTAAATTCACTCAATAATTTAAACTTGCAGGTATTCCAAACACGACATGGTATGAAACTGAAAATGACATCAAGTAACAGAAAGGGTTTAGAGCCAAAATGTGAGAATTTGTGTAAGTATACTGCACTCTGTTTCAAATCGCCTATTTTCAAAATGTCACAATTTTGGATTTTACTTACCAGAACCTGGAAGTTTCAAAAGCCAAATAGTTAAATCAGAAACTTAGGGTTTTGAGTTATGTCACAATTATTTACCTATCTTTCATTAAAACAATACTCAAAAACACAAATTTGTTTATTGATCATGAACAGCCTCTCAAACACCTTGGAATCTCAAAACAGGATCACACGATTCTTACATGTTAAGCTTTAAAACTATTATAATCTGCACCCTCCCCCCTCTGCACAAGCTAATTCTTCTGTTAAAATGTTGTTGTTCACCCAACCAAGGATGAAATTACCACTAAAGACACATTTTAAACTGCAATCCTATACATAGCGATTCTGAAGTCTCATTAAGTTCAGCTGGGCTTACTCCTAGGTGAGTATAGGATTGCACCCAAGCAAAACAGTCCTCTACTCACACCATGCTACAGATATGTCAGTGGAAGGCATATCCTATGCCATAGGTAGGCAAACTAAGGCCCGGGGGCCGGATCTGGCCCAATTGCCTTCTAAATCCGGCCCACGGACGGTCCAGGAATCAGCATGCTTTTACATGAGTAGAATGTGTCCTTTTACTTAAAATGCATCTCTGGGTTATTTGTGGGGCATGGGAATTCGTTCATTCCCCCCAAAAAATATAGTCCGGCTCCCCACAAGGTCTGAGGGACAGTGGACTGGCCCCCTGCTGAAAAAGTTTGCTGAGTCCTGTATGCTCTTATCATTCTGAGGTGGGTGGGGAAGGAGGTGGGAGGGCTGCTATTATTTTTATATAATTCCCTCCTCCATGCTAGCTTCTATGGGAGGCAAAATTACTTGCACCAACCTCAGACCTGGCATAATGTTCCACTGTCAAATGGGCATGTCTTGGAAATGAAGAGGTGTAACTCATCAATCTTTATTACGGTCCAGAGGCCCAACAAATCATTACAAAGCAATACACAATTCATACAGCCTACCTCCAGGTTAAACAAGCATTTTGTTTAGAATATAGGGATCATTTGTTCTTGCAACCACCGATAAGAGGTGTAACTATGCCCTGCTCAGGGCACACCCATGATTCCATCCCATTCTGCTTTCCCCACCGCACCTGTCCTATTTACCAGTGTCACTTTGCCAGCACAGTATCTCTGCCAACATACCAGCAGAGTTCCATCAGCTTAAGTGTCATGCTGGAGGTGTAATTCCATCTGGACTGGCAAAGCAGCGCTAACAGCACTTAGCCACTTCCTAAGACCATTCAGCCAGCATAACTCAAATATAGTGCCCTTGTTTTCTTATTTAGCTAGATGTCAAATATGTCACAACAGTTTAGAAACACTATAGTCAATCTGAATAGCAGCAATTAATATACAATACAGATAAAGTGTATTTTACTTGTCAAGCTACTCCCAAAGCACTCCAAAATATATGTCAAGAATTTTATTGAGGGGTACGATATGCATCGCTCAAATAAGGAAAATAAAAGTTTAAGATTACGTATGTTATCTTTCATCATTCTATATATTAGTTGGCATCACTGCCCACGTATGAATACTGAAGGTCAGATGAGCTGGGGTGAGGGGTTACGCAGTTTGGGAAAGATAACCTACTTTTGGGAAAAAAATGTGAGGGAGAGCTCTTGCCTTGCACAACTCAAAACCTGTGCATATGGGCCATATGTGATAGTATATGTTCAAGGTTTTTGGGAAGTGATATTTACAAAATCCCAGACATTAAAGGGCAATCAATCCCACCTGACCTGGCCCTGGCCCTACTGGCAATAGTGCAGCCAGATGACACCAATATAAGTTCACCAAGACCTAATAATTCTTTTGCTCACAGCTGTTCATTTGGAGTTAGCTAGTCACTGGAAAATTTGTAAAGCAGGTGGTTGAGAAGAATTGGAAATCTGGGGAAGGAGGAAGTATAATGGAATGGCATACCAAAAGGTTGTGCAATGAAAGTAGCTAGCAAAACAAGCACAAGCATTAAGACATGACTTTGCAAGCGATTGGTTTTTGTAATGGCTTTTGCATGGTGTTAATTTGTGGGTGAACATATCAGACAAAACAGCGATTCTTCAAACAGCTCTTGTTTATTCACAGACCCAGAACAGAACTGAACTGAAGGGTTCAGCCAGCCTGCTTATAGAGAGCTTCACTACAACGCAACAGTAACCACTTTCTGTAACTATCCAATCACTGAACGTCACTTTCAATCCCTTATTTGCATATGTGGACCTGAGTGAAAACTATCTACAGTATCCCCCTGCTGGCCCAGGGTGAGAACTTCAGTACATAACACATTGGGCATAAAATCCTATAAAAATATCACTTGTTCTGGGCACCCCTGATGGAGAAACCTGTTAGGATAGGATGGCTATGAACTATTGGATGAGGGATATTGCCGATTACTCTCTATTTTTAGGTATATTATCTTTCTATTATTCTATTTTTGTAGTTGAAACAATACAAACATATCCTTATAAAAACTGGTAAAGGGCTGACTGGATAATGTTCGGGAAATGGCATTACTTGAATGTTTAACATAAATTGGGAGCTGATTAAGTATGCTAAAAATGACCACTTAGAGGCTGTTTAGATATCATTCTTAACTTCTCAAAACTGGAATAGAGAGCAAATGCAGGCCAGATTGTCCCAGATTAATTTGTGGAGGAGCTATGCATTTGGTGCAGTTTATTAAAATAGACACATGAAGACATTCAATGATGAGTGAATAATTCTTTTGTTGTTGTTGTTCAGATATTTGACAATATGTACTCTACCGATTCTGTGTTACAGTCTGAAAAATCTTTAATAAAATTATTGTTTTCAGAAACCTGGGGCTTTAACTTGGATGAAGGCAGGATGAAAAATAAAATAAAATAAGTAAATAAAAGTTTGCTCAATGTAATCTCCTCCCAAATAAGAGTGCAAGAGACTGCAGCCTTAACAGTCATGGGCAAGTATGCAATTTTTGTTGATTTATGGAGTATAAACTGCGCTAAGTTTAGCTTATGAAATGAGAGGAGCCTCTAACCTGTCTGAAAGTCAGACCCTCTTTTCTGGTAACATGTTTTCCTAATGCTAAATGTGTAGGGATTTGTAGTCAGGATTCTGGCATGCTCAGAGCATAATTCTTTGAGTTCTGCTGAGCCCCTCTCAAATCAAGCCCTGAATTTGACCATTAAAGGAGAGGTGCCTTGTACAACGCTCCCTAAGGATCTGTCCGAATCATAAAGCCAGAGAGAGAGAGTCGGACGGAAAGATGTTCTATTTCAGCTTGCTTGTCTACCATGTATGAATGCCTTCACAGTTCTCTTGTGGAGGGTGGAGATGCCAACTCTGGGGCGGATTTTCAAGGCCTCACAGTACCAAGGTGTGTCAGCCAGAGCTAGGCCAGAGGAGAACGGGTACAAAGTTCACAATCATCTGAGCGATGATAAATAGTAATTAAGATTACACCATTCCGTGTTTCAAAAGGACAGAGATGTTAGATAATGCTTGGCAGGCTGACAGGTCAGAGACAGTACATGAGCAATGAAGAGGCTCACAAAACAAAGCCAAGCAGGAGCTAATGAAAGCTGATATTAGTCACATGAAAACAGGTGCACTGTGAGAATGCAGCCTGGTCAACGCATGTTGTATAATTAGAGTGCAGTGTACTACCTCAGGCTGCAAGGGTGCAGAATTTTAATGCACCCACCCCAATAAAATACCACCTGCAAGTTAAAAAAAAAACCCCAGTAACTGCGGGGAGAAAGGTTCTGGTCTAGCCTACTCCCTCCCATGCTTCACCGTAGTGGAATAGGAAGCAAGTGTAGGATTGCCAGCTCTCAAGAAGCTCATATTCTGGGAACTAAACAGGGTAGTTCTGGTAGACCAGAGGGCAAAGCCTTGCAGCACTTGAAACATCCAGAGCATGGTCCCCAGTGCAGGGTTACTGAAGGAATGGGGAGAAACTCAGATGGGACAACTTGTTGAGATACAGCTTGCCCCCTTTGCTTCTACCTCCTCACAGATTTAATAGCTTCCATTGGAAACCTTGAGGAGCCATCCTGAATTATTATTTTCCCCACATCAACAATGTAGGGTTGAATGCTTTACCCAGAGACTTGAGTTCAGAATATGACTTTATTAAAAAGACAAGGTATCTGAGAAACCAGAACCATTATTTCAATGTACAAATCCAAATACCTGTACAAGGTTTTGCATTTTAGTTTAAATCCTAAAAATAAAACAGATAATAAAAGCAACGGGTGGCGGGAGATCAGGAGCAGCCATTAAAACCATGCATTTATGCTGAATTAAAACAAAATATAAACCAGGACATTTTTTTTTACATCTTGGCGATGTGCTCACTAGCAGGGCTTTGGACAGTACCATCATGCACACCAAATACAACTTTGCTGGAATTTTTAAACAGCTTAGTCAAAAAAACAACCTCCCCAAAGTCAACCCCTTGAATGAAAGAAGATCCGACTAGTTCTGATGTTTTGCTGTTTAGATTTATTTCTTTAAAGGGAAAATGCAGTGTTCCTATTTAAAAAAAGAACTGAACTAAAAATAAATAAATCACAAGTATTACAAAACAGCTAGGTAGGTGTTTAGAGACATTTCAAAAGCTGGCAAGTCAGGTAGGGTAGGGACAAGAGGAGAGAGAGAGAGAGAGAAAGAGATTGAAAGATGCATCCCTATTGACCATATACAACACATTTAGATAATTAAAAAATATAAAAGGCAAGAGGCAGCATTTCAGCAGCAAAGTGCTAAAAAGGTACGTCACAAAAGGGTATGGGACGGCAAAGCCACATCTCAGAGGAAATACGGTGTGGTTGAGGGAAGCACACGTTCTGAGTCTGGAACTGCACAGAAGAGCTTTGGTTCCCTTGTATTTGCACCTTCAAATGCCATGATTGAGGCAATATTTCCACAGCGATAGCTGTGACCAACTTCTCACCAAACATGAATTTATAACCTTCATGCACCAGCTGGTGGGCTCAGCAGATGAGCTTTAAGTTGTTGATATAAAGGTAAAGGTACCCCTGCCTGTACGGGCCAGTCTTGACAGACTCTGGGGTTGTGCACCCATTTCACTCAAGAGGCCGGGGGCCAGCGCTGTCCGGAGACACTTCCGGGTCACGTGGCCAGCGTGACAAAGCTGCATCTGGCGAGCCAGCGCAGCACACGGAAACGCCGTTTACCTTCCCGCCAGTAAGCGGTCCCTATTTATCTACTTGCACCCGGGGGTGCTTTCGAACTGCTAGGTTGGCAGGCGCTGGGACCGAGCAACGGGAGCGCACCCCGCCGCAGGGATTTGAACCACCGACCTTTCGATCGGCAAGCCCTAGGCGCTGAGGCTTTTACCCACAGCGCCACCCGCGTCCCGCAAGTTGTTGATATAGACAAACTCATTTGTGACTTTTGCCTCAAACAGCCAGCCTGCTCCTCGGGGACTTATGGCCCAGGTGTCCACATCTTCTGGATCAGACCAAACAAGGTCACAAAAAGCTCCTTTGGGATCTCTTGGTTGTGCTCAATGGTCTGAATCTGGTCCAGTGTTTTTATGTCTGGAGAGAGGCCCCCATGTATACAGAAGATTTGCTCATCTAGTAACACTGCTACCGTGAGCATGTCAAAAACTTTGATGTAATATCTCCAGGCATTAGCGTTGCCATATTTGGTTTGGCATTTGTCATAAAACCCATACACTTGAGTTACCTGTCTGCTCTCATGATTCCCACGTAAAAGTGTGATGCAATCAGGCCATTTTGCTTTCAGGGCAAGAAGATAGGCAAACGTCTCAAGGCTATAATAGCCTCTGTCTACAAAGTCACCCATAAATATATATAGTTTGTGTCAGGAACCTGACCTCCAGTTCTGAACAATTCACATAAATCATAAAACTGTCCATGTATGTCGCCACAGACTGTAACTGGTGTAGAAACTGGCTGCACATTAGATTCTTCTACAACAGAGATGTCCAACAGGTCGATCACGATCTACTAGTCGATCCCTGCGAGGTTTTGGTCGATCGTTGGCCCCCTTCCCGACCCCTCGCCGTGCCCTCCATTGTTGGAGAACGGAAGACAGAGTTTACAAACCGAGGCTGTATTTACCCCAGTGATCCTTCAGTGAGTTGCTGTTCCTCTCTGACCGCAAAACAATGTAAAAATGCCAGGCCACCCCCCTCAAAAAAGCTCAACAACTTTGACCTGAACCCCTAAAAAAAGGGGGTAGATCACTGCCAGTTTTTAATTCTGTGAGTAGATCACAGTCTCTTGGAATTTGGCCACCCCTGTTCTAGAAGAAGGTCACAGACGTAGTCATACAAGCGCTTGAGTGTTCCGGTTTGCGAACGTTTTACAGAAGCCGAACGCCCGACGTGACTTCTGTGGCTTCCGATTGAGTGCAGGAAGCTCTTGCAGCCAATCGGAAGCCACGCCTTGGTTTTTAAACCATTTTGGGAGTCAAACAGATTAAATTTGAGAACCAAGGTACCACAGTAACTTAAACAGGACAATTCTGTGAAGATCAGTTAATGCTGGTCAGCTCCACTAAAGGTTTTGAAAACTGGTGGTGATGGCGGTTGACACTCTCTCTCTCTCTCTCTCTCTCTCTCTCTCTCTCTCTCTCCCTCCCTCCCTCCCTCCCTCCCTCCCTCCCTCCCTCTGCCAACTACCTTGCCCCAAAAGAGCAACTGGCCCAGGGTTACTCAGTGAACATAAGGACTGAGTGGAGATTTAAACCATGGTCTCCAAGATCCTAGTCTGTTCTGCAAAAAATTGCTGCTGGTGTAGAGGCTACTCAGCACTTGGTTTTGGAACAGGCTGTTTATCAGACATGCGGTGATGTTTCAAAAGGTTGCCACACACCCCACTTGTTTGTTCCTCCCAATTTGTTTCTGGAGACGCAAGTGTAGTCACCAGAAAGCCTTGGGAACTCTGAAGGTCCAGAGAAGGCTCTTCTGGAACTTCAATCCAGATTTCATTTTTCTGTATGTACAAATACTGAAGACATATCAAGAGAAGAGTGAGAGAGACATCCTAAAATAGCCACTAAAAGCACATTAAATGATAGCTAGCTTGCGATAAGTCATCTCACGCAGGCACCCCCAATTAATGACCTGGTAGCAGGAGATAGAATGACCAGCT